GGGCGTAACTACTCCACATACAGCCACGACTTCCTTGCCTTGTTTGCATTCGTTAAAGGGTTCAAGCCATATCTGGTGGGTCGCCCATTCATCATTCAGATAGACCACAAAGAACTACAGTGGCCATTAAAATAACGGTTAACTAGCACGATGCCAATGCTCATAGAGGAGGTTTTCCTTCACCTGGCTGCACCGCACTACGCGTCAGCAGGTAACGCCTAAGTGTTCACCCTTACGCCGTTTGTAGCTCAACTGATAAGGCACTTGCTTCGCGTAAAGATCTTTTCTACTATGCGGGTTCAAATCCAGCCGAATGGCGCGGGCTTATACACAATTAGATCAACCTAAATTGTTCGAAGGGCTTCTCGAATTCATTCCCGGATTTTTTTCTATTTTCTGCAATTTGTTAACCTTTTTAGTTAGCTGATAGAACCACAACCTTTTTAATTGCTGTGTCTTTACTGTTTAGCTCAGTTGGTTCACTTTTTTATATTGTGTATCACAAGTATGATACTTCACTGTTTGTCATGCCAATCCGAACCAAGGTAACCTCATGGATATTTTTAAAAATCGACAAACCTGTCCAAAACTTAGCATATGTATAACATTCAAATGGGTTTTTCTATAAATTTTAAGTGAATAAATTTTCTGCAGTTGTCATGGTATCGGCTGTTTATTTAAATTTGCATCACGTTATGCACATCGCCTTACGGCCTAAATCTGATAGTAGCGTTCCCATTTTCTTTTACCTGATAGACGTCACGTAAATAATATAACACTTCATAAGAACACTGATTAGCATAAAGCAGGAAGATTACTTAATAATAACGATATAATTCGCCGAAAGTCGCATAAGTAACCAAAATGTTTTTTTTTCTGTGATAATGCATGCGAAAAGAATAAAAATATGCAGGGAATCAATCCCGAGGAGTTTGTCGGAAATGCTAGCAGCCTTTGGAAGATGCTTGATGAAATGGCAACCAATGATCCAAAGGGATACGAGAAGTTTATCAAAAAGCAGATGGAATTTGGTCAGGGCCTCACAAGTCGTCCAACATGTCGATGTGTCTACAAATGTACACTTAAAGTACAGTTACTTTAACGATTTAATTTTAACAAGGGTGGAGGATTTATCTTTATAAATATGTGCGAGTGGGCGTGCCTGAACATGCCGAAGTCAGAAATAGATGCCATTCCTATGTTTTGCGGTGACATGTATCTTGTTGAAAACGGTACGATTTACAATTTTCCTGTATAACACATAACTTGCCACTTTCTTTTCTTTGCAGGCTTTATGTGTTTTTTATTCTTATTCGCCAAGGCCGCGCTCACATATTTTCCGTACTCTGTATTTCCCAAAATAGAATTAGTCTGAATATTCACATTGTTAACAATGAGCTTTCTGCTATCTCAATTTATCTGATACCCTTCTGCTAAAAAAATAAGTATTTAGTTTTCCATTTGAATATTTGCAGCTCTTCTATAATGTTGTTTGCCTGTTGGCATAACACAATTTTTCGGTGGAACGGTGTGCCCAGGACTGTTAACCGCACTTTCGATATTCCCTCGCCCAAGTCGGACGTAAATGATGAGACACGAGTGCTTTTCCAACAGTGAGCTTCCTCTGGGCCGTAAGAGCCTTACCATGTAAAATAATTGTGGTATGTCGTCACCTTAGTCCACGGGTGCTTGTTTTTTCTTGCACAACTCGTCTGGACATTGTTGTGCAAAAGGAAAAAACTGATTCTTCTACCGTTTTCTTAACTCCTACATCTCTCAACATTAAAAAAACACTGGTTAAAACACAAACCGCACCATGGCATTCTATGCTACACTTGTACACAATTATATAGACCTTTTGTTTTTTT